AAGGAAGAAAGAAAGGAAGAAAGAAAGGAAGAAAGAAAGGAAGAAAGAAAGGAAGAAAGGAAGAAAAAAAGGAAGAAAGAAAGGAAGAAAGAAAGAAAAGAAAGAAAGAAAACCTTGCCCAAACCCCTTCATCTGAATACATTCAAAAAACATTTGATTCTGATTAAAAGATATTTTTTCATTGGCTGAGGTTTAAACAAAGCTCAGCAAATATTTATCTATTTCCCCACTCATTTTAGCAGCACTGTGGTGATTCCTGCATTATTCTACAGTACAACTTTTTATAAGATAAAGCACTCCCTCCTACATCTAAAAAAATCAATAGAATCAGCATTTCATAAAAAAGGGCAGTTGTGCTCTGTTTTTTTACAGTTGTCATCCAGCACCTAAGAGCTAACTGATTTTTTTTTTTTTTTCTGACAGGAGACTTTTTTTTTAAAGCCAAGTACTGAGTGGCATTTGTAAAACAGCATAATAGAGATAAGATTTCACAGTTCATTTTTGCATCATTTATTTTAAGGACACTTACATAAACAATTACCAGCTTCTGAAAGCTGAAAGTAAAATGAGCTATTTAGTGAACTATTTAATTCAATTTTTGTGAAGGACAACACTTCTGCTAAGCCTCTGAGTCTGAATAAATAAAAACAGGAAAAAATCCCTCAGATTACAGCCTGGGCAGTGTGAGAAATAGAGAGATCTCAGTTTCATTCTAACTACTGATTATTGTCACTAAAGCAGATGTTCTTCACAACCTTGACCAAACAACTCTGTTCTGTGGTCAGAAGCACAGTCTCATTCGTGATCAAAGTGTGCACTTACATTTATGACCATGAACTTAAAAACACTCACCTCTTCTGTGGTAATTTACTTTGCATGCACAAATGTGTATATTTGCTGTATACTTTTTTTCCCCCTCTCTCTGCACATCAGCTTCAAAAAATTATCTTCACAACTGGAATTTGAAAAGTATCAAATATATCAGAATTCTAAATGATGTAAGATGAACTTGCTGATGCCAGCAGTTGAACACTAATGCCTACCGATATCAGCTGACAGGACACTAATTACTAGTTACTGGAGATGATTGCTTGGCAAAGGATCTATTCAGTGAGTTATGATTTTGAAAAATTATAAAGCACAGGCCTGATCTGTGAAAAGATACGCGGTATGAAAATACAGCATACGTTCTCAAGATGATTATCATGACAGAGATCTGTCTAATTAGGAAGAAACTATTTTAATGCTAAGATATGAAAGAGCCCAGCTGGGAGAGGAATTTAGAGGAAGACACAGAAACATGACTGTTAAGCTGACAGCAAGTGCAGCCTAAGCATGTTCCAATGACAGTTTCTAAAAAAAAATTTCATCTCAGCATTTAATCAATAGTGGTTTCAGAACAAGTAGAGCCTCACGGATAATCTAGCTAGTCATATTAGTGGGAGGAGCTCCCTAAATAATACAGAAAATAAATCTTTGCAGAGCAACATAGCACTTCCCTTTGGTCAGCTGAGCTAGGGGGTTATCCAGTAGATGGGCAACATGAAAAATATCCCCGTGAGGATAAATAGGAATCCCACTCTATTAGAAACCACACTTTAGGTCCTGGCACTGCCAATCAGGTTGGAAGCTGCAATCGTTGTAGCAGCAACTTTCAAACCATCCTGGGCAACAGATTAACCTTCAGAGTGGCCACCTGGGTGGAAACCTTTCTGAAAGCTCCTACTCTAATTAAATGTTTTATGTCTAAATCTATGGATTACATGGTGACACAGGCACCTGCTGGAAGGCGAACCTAGAGGCAATGTGTTCACTGAATAACTTTGAAACCCAGCTAACACACCTTTTGGGTCTGCAAGAAGCAGCTTTCTTACATATTGGAAAGAGTTTCAGAAGATTTCTGCTGAAGGTTCTCTTGGAACGAGCAAATCAGATATGCTTCAGTTACTACCACAAGCACTTAAATACATCCATAGTCAAAAAAAGAATAATAATGTCATTTGGAGAGCAGTTAAAGCAAAGCCGCATAGTTGAGGGTTGATTGAAAACAAAAAACCCCACAAACTCCAGGAATGAATGTATCTGTGAAATCCAACTACAGCATGGCAAAAATTCTCATGACAGCTGCGGTGGCCACAAGCTACGGCTGTCAGAACATCCAGAGCTGTAGGAATTCTTCAAGGGATGAACCAACTCTGGAGCAAAAGATGTT